GCCGACCAATCACAGAGCTTGTGCTACATGTCCTTACAACAGGTAGTTAGATTGTTTTAAAAGTCGCATAGCCCCCGCGTCAGCCACGGCGAGGGCTATGCAACCGTGCGAAGGCTGCCCCAGACCACACGCTGCAGAAGTTGGGAATTTCTCAACTTTTCAGGTGCCAACGGAAGTGTGAGCCAATCAGATCGCTTAATACAAATACACTAGTTCAGACAGTAGCTGAGTGCGGACTAGTTTAATTGGCTGACGCTGCCCGGACCATTTGGGAAGTCCCAACTTTAGACATGCCCTCTCTTAAGTGTTGTCGCTGAAACCCCATGTGAATCGGGCGTTGAGTCATAACATACAAATAGGCAGTTGTTCTCACAGAAAAATGCTGCGGTCATACTACAGTTTGGGGTGGGATGAAACAAGATTAGACATTAAAAAAGCGAGCGATTGGTCCATGTTTTAAATTTCTGTCCAGAGAGGACATGTTTTGACGTTAACCAAGCTTGAACTTATCGCACAAGCTTGCGTTTCTGGTCTGATTCATTCGCATGCATCAAAAAGTAAACAATTAGGCACAAAACCTTGATCTGAGCTGTAATAACGTACTCTTTTGGTAAAGGTAAAAAAGAAAAACTGCTGAATGCAGCCTACCCTATACATATAATCAGCCACAACATGGAACCAAAATTCAGGGTGACAGATAACTTTATGTACACAAATATACGGTCAAGATGTTTTATCAGTTGTTATCTATCAACAACATACCTTTGATTGTCATTAGTGCATTCAAAGTTAGCATTGAGATAAAGGAAATGGTTTTGAACCAGAGGGAAAAAACACTAGAGAATATTAATCCAAGGTAGATTAGTCATGAAACTCCTGTTTTCCACAATAATGTGAGTGCAAGAACTGGACACCAAGAAAGGCCAATAGAAGGAAAATCAATGCATTGGAAATTGTGGTGCTGGTGGAAACTGTTGCCAATGGAAACAAATGACATGGATAGCCAGGAAAAACAAACAGGGAAGTGAATAGGGAATAGAGAATGGATGTCACTAGCTGTTGAAATCATATGACTGAATGATTTAGGTGTTTTGTGCATGCCAAATTGTGTGCAAAGTCAGTAATGCTGGGAATGATCAGTAAAAATGTTTTTAACATTGTTTTGTCAACAGTACAGCATGGACAGTGTATTACCATAAGAAACTGATACAACAGGGACTTAAAATAGCAGATCTTAAAGTTCCCACAGCTGAAGATAATGTATAACCACAGGGCTAACACTAGAATTTAGCTGCAGGGAAGAAACACGCTGCCTTTTAGCTCCAAATCAGATCAAGTTATCTAAATCAGTGCACAGCTAACCAATTGAATTTTAAGTCTTCCAATATGACCACAGTTACATAAACTCAAATACATCTGTTAACCGATTCCGCATGTATAAATAACTGTTTTTCCAATACATATCATTAGGATCATCTTTGCTTTGTGAGACCGCAGGCCCAGCTGTGATTCTCTATCTGCTAACACAACCTACATGGCTGCTGACAGTGACAACTGCTTGTGTCTCTAAGGGTGACTCTGCTGTAATGCATTTTGTTCACAAAGCTTTCATTGTTCTTTCAGTGCTCATTTCTGAAAAACATGTTTTGTTGTTTCAGCAAATAAAGGCAGTGAAGTCTTCTTACAAGTTTAAATAGATGTACAAAAAAACTGAAAGCACATCTGAGCCTCTTGGTGAATGTAATCCTAGTTTAAAATGAATGCCCTTTATTAGGTTTTTGGCAAAAAAAAAATCAAGGCTGGAATACATCTTTCTGACTACTTGACAAAGGTCAGTCTGCAGATTTTTCGCTGTTGGAGCTGACATTTCACAGATAAACCATTTTCAAGACTTTGATGCCCTCCAGTTGAACAATAACAAACAAGTATGATAATTCAACCAGCATGTTGTTTTCATGATTATTGAGTCTTGCTTCTTCTAACAAGCGGTGCACATTTATGCCTGAATTTCTGTCCGAGTCTGCTTATTTTAAAGGCAAATGCTTCTAGATTACACTTACTTTACCAAAGAAAAATATGACCAAGCCTTGATTTTTAAGTATTTAATAAGGACAGTAAGGTCTGACTTTGCTTAGACAAAAGTCTTGCCACTTAACAGAAACAATGTACAGTATTATTTGAATTATCAGATTCTTTGGATTCATCTTCAATGCCTCATCCATCTTACCGCAAACATGCTCAATAACAGTAATGCTGGACCACCGTTACCTTCTTTGCTTTCAGGCAGTTTAATGTGAAAACTGAAGTATGAGGAACACTATCATGCTGAAGAATTTGTCCTCTCCTGTGGTTTGTAATGTAATTACAAGTATGCGTGTAACACGCTACCATACTGAATGTAACCCCAAACCATGATTTTTCCTCCACCAAACTTGACTGATTTCTATGATAATCTTCGGTCCATGCAGGTTCCAGGTCTCTGCAGTATTTGTGGTGATTGGGATGCAGCTCAACAGATGATTCATCTGAAAAATCTAGCTTTTGTAAATAACTTTTGTCATGTAGTGTAGTGTCTAAAATCTAATCTGATTTTGAATTCAAGTAGTGTATCTTAGTCTTTAAGCTAATATTAGTCATTAGTAATATTAGTATGCACTGCAAATATTAGCAGATGTTTGTCTATATAAAATATTTTACTTGCTGATGAGGTTATATAATATAATGTTCAAAACAGATGTTCAGAAATACCTGCCAAACAGGACAAATAGACCAAAATGTCAAAAACACATGCACAGATACAAACTGATTATATAATATGTGAAAACAAATGCCCATTTAGGTCAAACAGCTGCAGAGTCTAGAAATGTTTGAACTTTAATATGTGTGTACTATGTCCGTCCTTTTGTTAGTTTTGGCTGATTTAGGATCAATCACATTCGTGGGGAAAACATAGCTTCAAGTATGCAGTTAAAAATGACCAGCAAAGACCATTTAGTGAATTCTTAAACTGCTTGCTTCTTACTTTGAAAGCATAGGAACATGAAAGCACTTCAAATTGTTATCAACTCTATGGATTTTATAATAATAAGTATGTGTTTTCAGTTAAATGTTTAATGTCAAATGTTTTATTGTATGTTTTATTTCTAAATATGTATCCTTAAACAAGAGCATAAGAAAATAAAATAGGTCAGTGGGTCAATATAAAACATTCCATATTTCAGACTTGAAATGATCAAAAACAATATTTACATAAACATTTTATACACCGATGCAAACACACATTACTCTGGTAAAAGTTAGATTTTGGCTCCTCCTCATGGAATGTAATGGTATGTTAAGGGTTTATTATCAGTGGTGTGGTTAGTTCATATGTGGAGACTGTAGTACACCATGCCCGGGTATTACTGTGATTGACCCTTGTGGTTAGTTGAAACCACAGATGGTGGTTTTTAATATGTCGCCATCCGACAGAATGCGGGACGAGCACCTCCTGGTGGCAGAAGGCTCATTTAACATCAACGTTGGCTTTTCTTCAATGTCTTCCTATCAATATACTGACAAAACTGTGTAGTAAATAACGGATTATATGTAATCTGGTTAACGTAATCAGATTTAAAAAATCAAGTACTACACTGTAAAACAATTCATGGTTGCCTTAAATGTTTCAGCTGAATCAAATTAATCTTATATTGTGTTAAACTGACTTAAAACAGCTTGCACAACTTCTAAAACTTTATTATTAACTTAGTTTAAAAAGTTGAATGAACTAAAAACATATGCTGTCTTGACTAATTGTTCATATAATTTTTTATAGTGTAGTAATTAAAGTAAACAACTACTTAATACTTATAGAATCAGAATACAATAACTTTGTATTGACATGATAGCATAATATATAATGGCAATAAGTTGTTCTTAATTAATTTTTGCAATTTTTGTCTTTTATTAACGCTTATTTTTTTGCCCAATAAACGTGCTGCTTACATACGTTGATCCTTCATGTTTGCAATGTTACTATTGTTTACTGTTTTTAGATTAAATATAGCAGTCATATTGCTGTAAATTTACTTAAATATTTACTTACTTTACTTTTATAAGTAATTCGAATTATGTGTTTTCAAGTTTATTGTGTTACTATCAGCAAGCAGCAAGATTTGTCTTAGTGTTACAGGGATAGTTCACCCAAAAATAAATGTTTGCACACTATTTACTCACACTCAGGATGAGTTATAAACATCTATGAGATTGTTTCTTCTGTTGAACACAAAAGAAGATATTTTGAAGAAACCTGAAAAAAAATCATAAAGGTTTTAATATTGTAATAATACATTTCTCAGAAGTTTGATTAAATACACTGCAACTTTTAGACAGAAGTACTTATGAAATAACCAATTGAAAATAAATATATTGGAATTTGATCTGGACTTACAACAACAAATAACGTGTCACTATAAAGTCAGTGAAATCTACTTAAAAATTAAACATATTCCCAACCAACCAGTTTCTCAAGAGATATAAAGTTGATATTTCTGAATCTTGTGTGTTTTGCAGAATGAACGTTGAAATTGTTACTCATTTGTTTTTTGACTTTATGTATGTTAAATATTTCTGTTTGGTGTCGAATGTCTATTTAATATACTGAGTGGTCATAGAATTTGTGGAGAGGTAAGCGTGATCAAACACCCAATCAGGGGGGAGAGCATGCTAGGAGCCCGGCGGCTAATCAGCGGGTCAATCAGAAATGATAAATAACACCTGTCTTTCTAGTGATTGGGCCGGAGAGACTCCCTTCTTAAGGAGAACGGGAGGAGCAGTCGGGAGAGGAGAGAGCACACACACACACACACACACACACAGTTTGCTAGTGCTGTGCAAAAAGCAAAATAATATATATATCTCTTACCTGATATCGCCGACCCTGTCTTCTTCTTCCCACACAATAACGAACTATACTACAGTGGTGCCGAAATCCGGGGAAGGAGAAGAGCCTCACTGCCAGAATGACCACTCCGTCAAGAACGCCATTTGCGGAAGCTATCCAGGCCCTCTCGGTCCTCCACCAACAACAACATGAGACGCTGGTGGAACTGAAGAACATCCAGGAACAACATTTCCAAGTCCTCATGGAGGCCCAGCGGGAGGACCGCGAGCAAATCCGGAGTCTGCTGTCCCAGGGGATCCGGCCCGCTCCGACATCTGCCGCCCACCCTCCCATCGCCTTACAGAAAATGGTGCCGGAGGATGATCCGGAAGTGTTCCTGGATCTTTTTGAAAAGATGGCTGAGGCGTGTGGCTGGCCGCGGGCTGAGTGGCCGGTACGAGTCATCCCGCTGCTCTCGGGCGAAGCCCAGATCGCCGCACAGCAGCTACCGGCCCAGAATCTCCTGGAATACGCTCATCTGAAGCGAGCTATTCTCCAGCGGGCCGGCCGCAACCCGGAGGAGCAACGTCAGCTCTTCCGATCGCTGGTTTTGGCTGAAGATGGCTGGTACAGGATGGCCGAACCACCGCCCAACTGGTGGATGCCGTGGTGCTGGAGCAATTCATCACCCGCCTCCCCTCCCGAACATCGGAGTGGGTCCAGTGCCACCGGCCTGATGATCTGGAGACGGCCATCCGACTGGCAGAGGATCACCTGGTGGCGAGGTCCAGGGTCGGCGAAATAACCTCTCTCTCTTCTCCCCCTCTCTCTCTCTCTCTTCCTGTTCCCAGGCCCAGACTGCGGGGACCGCCCACACCTGCACCCAGACGGCGGTGCGCAATGGCGGATCTGCCAAACGTCCCAAGAGGGGCGGGGCCCCATTCGGGCAGAGGGGTGGAGCAACGACCCCTGGCGGTTGCCCAGACACTGCCAGGATTCTCTCCGGTCCAATCGGTTGCTCCTGCTGGCCCCGGGAGTATAGTGGGAAGGTCTGGGCCGATGCATTTGCGTCGCGGGCACGAGGATAGCGCACCAAAAATCTGCTCCGTGAAGGAGGCGAGTGCGCTGATTCGCGTCCCCGCCACGCCAATCGTCGCCCCCGGTCGCAACGGGCTATACCGGGTACCAGTGAGTATAAAAGGGGGTACATATCAAGCTTTGGTGGATTCGGGGTGTAACCAGACTTCCATCCACCAAAGCCTGCTTCAAGACCCGGCATTGGATATGAGCCGCACGGTAAGGGTAAGGTGTGTGCACGGGGATATAATTCACTACCCGCTGACGGCAATAGACATTCAATTTCGGGGGAAAAAACATAGAGTAGAGGTAGCAGTTAACCCGCACCTCAAACACCCGCTAATTCTGGGAACTAATTGGCCTGGATTTAATAGATTATCGGGAGTCTTATGTGCGGGTGCTTCTTGGAAGAAGAAATCGCCGGATAGGGGACGTGTCGCTCAGCTGGGGGAATCCCAAGCAGTGACGTCACGCGCTGACTCAGGGGAAGGGCTGGGAATTTCCCGGTGTAAGGACTTTCCCCTGGAGCAGTCGCGTGATGACACGCTAAAACATGCACTCGAAAGAGTGCAGGTTATTGATGGGAAAATCCTCCAGCCTGATCGACCCCTCTCCTATCCGTATTTTGCGGTTATTAATGATAGGGTGTATCGAGTGACCCAAGACGCTCAGACAAAAGAAGATACAACCCAGCTATTAGTACCAAAGAGCCGCCGGGAAATGCTTTTTCAGGCGGCTCATTCTAATCCTATGGCCGGACATTTAGGTCAGGCGGCCACACTAAATCGCCTCATGACCCGATTCTTTTGGCCGGGCATTCACGGTGACGTCAGCAGATGGTGCGCGGCGTGCAGTGAATGTCAGCTGGTAAATCCGCCGGCCACCCCAAAAGCGCCGTTGCGCCCTTTACCAATTATGGAGATCCCCTTCGAGAGAATTGGTATGGATCTCATCGGGCCATTAGAGCGATCTGCACGCGGGCATCGGTTTGCATTAGTTCTGGTGGATTATGCAACCCGCTACCCGGAAGCAGTCGCGCTCCGTAACATCTCAGCAAAGAGCGTTGCGGAGGCGCTGTTTCGCCTCATCTCCCGTGTGGGAATCCCCAAGGAGATTCTCACTGATCAAGGCACCGCGTTCATGTCACGCACGATGCGCGAGCTTTACGGATTATTGGGCATTAAATCTATTCGCACCAGCGTCTATCACCCACAAACAGACGGGCTGGTGGAAAGATTTAATCGCACGCTTAAATCAATGATCCGTAAATTCGTTCACGAGGACGCGAAAAATTGGGATAAGTGGTTGGAGCCCTTATTATTCGCTGTGCGGGAGGTTCCCCAAGCCTCCACGGGGTTTTCCCCCTTCGAGCTTCTCTACGGCAGACAGCCCAGAGGGGTTTTGGATGTTGTTAGAGAGGCTTGGGAGGACGAGCCTTCTAATAGTAAGAATGAAATTCAATATATCCTGGACCTTAGAGCAAAACTCCACACACTGGGGCGGCTCTCTACAGAGAATTTGCTTAAGGCTCAGGATGACCAACGCCGGCGATATGATAAGGGCACTAAACTCCGTAAATTTTCACAGGGAGATAAAGTACTTGTACTGCTACCCACTTCCAGCTCTAAATTACTCGCCAAGTGGCAAGGGCCGTTTGTGGTCACACGACGAGTCAGTGATCTCGATTACGAGGTGGTTCGTTCGGACAGGGCTGACTCGCGTCAGATTTATCACATTAATCTGCTTAAGCAGTGGAGGGAGCCGGAGGACGTGGCGCTGGCTACGCTTGTTACTAACGAGGATGACCTGGGGCCGGAGAGCTCCGGCCGAGAACGGCCGAGCGCTCTGGTCACCGGGGGCGATCATCTCTCAGCGAGCCAGCTCCTCGACATCCGGCACCTCCAACGTGAATACTCTGACGTATTTTCGCCCCTGCCCGGTCGTACTAACCTGATTCAGCACCATATCGAGACCGAACCGGGCGTGGTCGTTAGGACCCGGCCGTATCGCCTACCTGAACACAAGAAAAAGTGATTCAGGAAGAATTGAATAATATGTTGAAAATGGGAGTAGTAGAAGAATCCCACAGCGACTGGGCCAGCCCGATTGTCTTGGTGCCTAAGACGGACGGCTCGGTCCGGTTCTGTGTGGATTATCGCAAGGTGAATGCTGTGTCGAAATTTGACGCTTATCCAATGCCGCGTATTGACGAGTTGCTCGACCGGTTAGGTGCTGCTCGATATTACTCGACATTGGATTTAACGAAGGGCTATTGGCAGATCCCCTTATCTCCAATATCCCGCGAAAAAACAGCCTTCACTACGCCGTTTGGATTGCACCAATTTGTGACGCTTCCGTTCGGGCTGTTCGGGGCACCGGCGACGTTTCAGCGCCTGATGGACAAAATACTCGGCCCTCACACAGCATATGCCGCTGCTTATCTAGATGATATCATCATTTACAGTAATGACTGGCAGCGGCATATGCAACATTTGAGGGCGGTATTGTCGGCGCTGAGACGGGCCGGGCTCACGTCACGTTTGCTCTCCCCTTTGTTTTACAGACGGACGCATCCGATCGGGGACTGGGGGCGGTTCTCTCGCAGGAGGTGGCGGGAGTGGAACGGCCGGTGCTGTACATTAGCCGCAAACTCAGCAAGAGTGAGGCTAAGTACAGCACCATAGAGAAGGAGTGCCTGGCGATCAGGTGGGCCGTTCTCACTCTCCGCTATTACCTCCTGGGTAGGGAATTCGCTCTCTGTTCAGATCACGCTCCTCTCCAGTGGCTTCACCGCATGAAGGATACCAATGCGCGGATCACCCGTTGGTATCTAGCTTTACAGCCTTTTAAGTTCAAGGTGATCCACAGGCCGGGTGTACAAATGGCTGTAGCCGACTTCCTCTCGAGGGCGGGGGGGGGGAGGGCTGCAGGCCGGACGGCTCCCCGGCCTGAGGCGGGCGGTGGGGGTATGTGGAGAGGTAAGCGTGATCAAACACCCAATCAGGGGGGAGAGCATGCTAGGAGCCCGGCGGCTAATCAGCGGGTCAATCAGAAATGATAAATAACACCTGTCTTTCTAGTGATTGGGCCGAAGAGACTCCCTTCTTAAGGAGAACGGGAAGAGCAATCGGGAGAGGAGAGAGCACACACACACACACACACACACACAGTTTGCTAGTGCTGTGCAAAAAGCAAAATAAAATATATTGCTTACCTGATATCGCCGACCCTGTCTTCTTCTTCCCACACAATAACGAACTATACTACAGAATTAATATAAAGAAAAGAGATGCTATATTTATGTAGATAAAAAAGATATAGATAAGGATCTTTTGTTTATGTTAAATCTTCTGATGTTATTAGACAAGTTTCAAATACACAAGTGTAAATGGTTGGAGAGGAAGCCTAATATCTCCCATTTCAAGGCTGATTTAGGTAAGGGGTGAATTAAAGAGTGACATGATTTTTTATTTTTGCCGTGGACTTCAATTTTAGCCTCAAAGAGCTGTAAACAATTAAACCTGAGGAACCCAAAACAGGATGCAAAAAAGTATTCTCAAGTGTCCATTCACGGCCACTCCAACAGGTGAATGTGACACCATATAAATTTAAAAGTATACTGATTTCCACTGCTAATCTTTTATACAACCCAGGGACAGGGGCGGATTTAACCAAAAAGCAAGGTAAGTGGCTGCTTAGGGCCTTATAAATTATTTCTATTGTATATAACATAGTTTTCTATCATATTTTGAATAGTGTAAGTCAAAAAATACTTTTTTTTTTTTACAAAGATTTTTACGTAATTAAATATTATTTAATATACAATAAAATATATTATTATTTTAATAATGCAATGTTATGTAATAATAATACAATTAAATATCCACCACCCCAATCATGGATCAGTCCAGCAGTCAAATTTATAAAAATAAATATATATTTTTGTTATTTTTTGTTATTATTCATTTAAAGAAAACTAATCATTTAAAATGTAGAACCTGCTTTGAAATGAAACATAGAAAAAAATATTGAGTGTTATAAAAAAAAAAGCAAAATACATTTAAATTAAATAAAATGAAAAAGGGTGCATTTCAGGACTTGGGGCTCGTGGCTGGAGTTGCTTAGGGCCCCCAAATCACCAAATAAGCCCTTGCCAAGGTGTCCATTAGATCAGTGTTTCTCAACCATGTTCCTAGGACCACCAATGCATATTTTCCATGTCTCCATAACCAAACAAACCTGATTCAGATCATCAGCTCATTAGCAGAGACTGAAAGACATGTAATGGGTGTGACAGACAAAGGAGACATCCAAAACATGCAGTGTTGGTGGTTCTCTAGGAACGTGGTTGAGAAACATTCCATTAGTGCATCTCCGAATGCAATCTTTGATGCAGATGAGCAATATAGACCACACATAGTGTCACCCCTGTAAGCTAAGAGCAAATGTCTCTATAATTTACACAGGCTCAACAAAATTAGGCAACAGAAAATTACAAAAAGATTTCCTTGACTGATGATTCTTAATACCTACTGTGACAGCATGAAAACAGCGATCTATTCTGCCTTAATTCTACAGTTCATGCTATTGGTGTAATGGTGTGAAGGATATTTTCTCGACACACTCTTGCCTCAGAGGTGGCCACTGGGAAGAGCATCTGAATGACAAATTATGAACAACACCCATTTCAAACAGCAGAGAGCGCCACACATCCATTTTTAGATCAATTTTAATCGCTGATACATCTGTGTACTGTGCAACTCCAGTAAGCCATTATGTGGTGAAGTGTAAAAGGTTCTTGTGTTCTCCATATTCTTGTGATTGAATAAAATAATTAAATAAAAAACTACGACTAGGTTAAATGCTCTTATATGATCAGTGCAGGTGAGACATGCCAAAATGACATTACAGCGTCTTTCTGGAAACACTGCTCAGCTGTTATATGAGTAAAGATGATCCGCACAATATCATTTAACATTTAAAGGGCACCTATCATGCCGTATCTAATTTTGGAAGCTGTTTGGACACAAATGGGCGTCCACAGTCATACACAACAAGTCTCTTTTTGTAAATTTCCTACAGTTAAAATAGGTTCCAAAATCACAGTGATTTTGAGGCCCACCTCAATATGACACAGCAGTGCGGTTTTTGCTGTCCGCCAATAAAGATCAACACATGCATATTATCAGGTCTCAGTATTAATGCCTATATCTACATGACAGGATTTGCAAAGTAACGGGATAAAATGCCTGTTTCAACTCTATGAGATTCAACTGCACTTCAGGAAGCAGTAAGTGGTACACTGTGTTTTTTATAGCATCTTGATGCTATGTAATTCCGCATGTGCCCACTAAGACGCAGACATGCAATCTCAGACCCAATGCACCCAATTGAGCTAGTGAGGATTGGGGGCAGGGTTACGTGTGGGATTTTATAACTTATACAAAAAGTTAAAAGTATCTTTTTGGGATTCCTTTTTCAAAGAGGTTGAATAGAAAAAAGTTTGGAAGTTTCATAGTAAATACTGTCTCAGCACTAAAGTTAAAGAACAGAAGTATAAACTAATTCATTCAATTTATCCAGTGAAACAAGTAGTTAATATACACATATACAACACATATACAAAAATGTTTTGGTTTGATGTTTAATATCTTATATTTAAACTTACAAAAATTAAAAATTCAGTTTTCTTGTAAAGATATTTTTTTAAATACAATATAAATAATAAAACTTTGGCACAAAATTAGTTTTTAATTTCTTGATTATATTTCATATTTTGCTTTTATACTTCCATGTATACAAGCAAAAATGGTCCAATGATCAACATTTATTTGTTTACAATTGATCTTGCATTATATCATAATGTTATTATAAATCCCTAAAAGACATTGAAAACAAAAAAGCAATAGGGATGTATGTGGTTTTGGAATAATTTTCTTATGCAAATTTCTTGTGATTTATATATCCCTAATTTGACGTATTTTTTGTTTTTATTCTCGATTGATTTGTTCATTTGATGTAAAAAAGTGTTAGTACTGAATTCCTCATTTTGTATGCTATTGTTCCTGTTATAAAATAAAAAAGGCTCAAGTGCACATTATTCACCACAGCAATCAACACAACAATAAAGGAGTACATATTTACCTGTTTGGTGGCCATCCTGTCAATTGCCACAAATAGATGAGCAAAAGCTGCACAGTGTAAATACAAGTGTGTGCAGGTGCAGCGAACATTGTGTGTGAGGCTCATTCATCTTACTGTGGTTTTTGTGACTGTTTGCTTTCTGTATTTTTGCTGTGTTTATCCTAAAACCCGGCCCTCGTTATCATGCTCTAAAGAGAAATGTTTTATGAGTGGGCAGGGAGATCCAGCTGATATTCATTTAAAGGCACATTTGCAAAAACAACTACAAATATCTCTGACCCAAAAAAAAATGTACCTTATCAACAGGCTATTAAATGATATGATAATTTTGTCCTAAAACTTCAGACACCTTCTGGAGACACAAAAGGCTTATTTTACACTTTGTAAAAAAATCCAGAACTGGAGCTCTTAAACCCCTATGTACTGTTGGGAATGTTTTCATCCAATATGAGGTGATTTTGAGTATTATAATAATATGGCCATAACCTTTTCTGTGTTTCAGCTGGCAGAATGATTTTTGGTGACAAATCTTATTTTGGCAAAGAATTAAAAGAATCAAAGAATCAAAAAATTACTTTTTTGAGAAAAGGCTTCAAATTTTGTTTAAAAAAAACCAACGATGCACTCTTGGCAAATACCCTTTTGTTATGTTTGAGATGAAAGCATCCAGAGTTTGTTTTAACCCATGTGCACTGTTCAAATTGATGAGCCTTTTGTTATTTTCAGGATGAAAACATCCACTGAATTAAACTGCTGTAAAAATGCATCAGATAAATATTTTTCAAATCTTTTTTTTGCATCTGTCAAATCTGTTAATCAACCTCAGTCCAGATCAAAACTCCTACATTTCTTAGAAAATTACATGATTTTAACTCTTCAATTGCCAAATTCATAAATAATGTCACTGATTTGGTGAAAAAAACACACAAAATGATGTATTTTCAGTATAAAAAGTAATTGTGGACAGGTTTTTCTTTTTAACCTTTTACCACTGACTTGGACATGTGAACAACATTGCCTTTGATGCATTGTTTTTTATTCATTTTTTTTCTTTCTTTTTATTGTTGGTGGCTGTTTTTGCCCCATTGACCTCCATTATTACCACTTTTTTATTACACAATTATGACATCAAATAATCAGGCATTTTTGATTGCGGGTGGTTTTCCCCGTTGGGAAGAGGAAAAACTTGTGATTTACCGTCAGTCATAAATGTAGGGCGAATTGGGTTGTTGTGTGTTGTGTGTTCCAACTCCAGTGACGTCATTTAGGAATTTGGCAATTAAAGAGGTAAAATCCTATAATTTTCTAAACAATTAAGTAGTTTTGATCAGGACTGATCAAAACAGATTTACGCAAAAATAATTGAAAAAGTATTTATTTGATGCATTTTTACAGCAGTTTAATTCAGTGGATGTTTTCATCCTGAACAGAACAAAAGGCTCGTAAATTCAAACAGTGCAAAAAGATTAACACAAATTATATCTTTAAATAACACTAGAGGTCACTTCTGAGGCAAAGAACACCCTATTAGACACCATATTGAAACGAAATAAATGACAAAGCAAACGTTACAAATGAACAGATTATTAATTATACTTAACCATTTCTATTCGAATATGTTTGAAAATCATAATTGTTAAATGACAATTAAACATATCTTCAAGATTCTTTGCTCAAAAGTAAAAAAACATATAAATTTATTGTTTTAAATATATATATATATATATATATATATATATATATATATATATATATATATATATATATAGAGAGAGAGAGAGAGAGAGAGAGAGAGAGAGAGAGAGAGAGAGACAAACAAGTGAACATAAAAAATACATTTAAAAGTTGCTTTGTCATACAAATATGTTCCAGTCTTGACCTATTGCCCAGTGGTGATGTCATCAGCGAGAAGCAACTCAGCTCAGTGCAGTGATGTCATTCCCAAAAAAGAAACTGCGGTGATGTCACTCACATATATGTTCATATTGGTGCCATGTGGCCTGTTCTTGGGTTCTAAATATGGAAGGTCATGAGGCCGTTGACATTATGGCTTCAGAAAAGGTGAGAGAGGCAGAGAACGATGATGACTGACGGCAGCCTCTTGGTTATGCGAGGATACAATTAGATCATCCATGTTAACAAGGCCCAAATGAACACAGAGCTACCAGAATACACTACCAGAATAAACCCAGCCATGAGCTTCAGTATCTGGCTAGTGATAAGTCTATAAGAGAAGTGTTGTGTCAGTGAGTCATTGGACACCGTTCAGCAGGGACTTTAACTGTGACTCTCATGAATGATGCAATTAGCCTATGGATACTAACAGGCCAATGCACAGCAACCGAGTGATGCAACAAAGCAGCAATACGTGCAGAACAGATCAAGCAGCAGTTTGTGTCTCCCTGGCCTTTCGTTATCTGCTTTCTAAACAGTCAATTTTAGATGCTGTTTTGTTGCAGTGATAAAGTTAATGGTGAATGTAAAACAAAGCACTTAGATATATGGAACTAAGGGGAGCCTTTGTGTACTTCATTAAAGCTGTTTTTCCTTGTTGAACCTGGTTTCCATCACATGATAAACAAGGTCATTGCTACTTTTTATCCAACAATTAGCCATTATTTCGCTTAATTGTGATTTTATTTTTTCTGAGTAAAAAGTTTATATCGTTAGACTTCTGTGTAACAAATTCTAGTCATTCATTCATTTTCTTTTTGACTTATTCCCGTTATTATTTAGGGGTTGCCACAGTGGAATGAACCGCCAACTTATCCAACATGTGTTTTATGAAGCAGATGCCTTTCCAGTCACAACCCAGCACTGGGAAACACCCATACACTCTTGCATTCACACCCACTCATACATTACGGCCAATTCAATTGAATCAATTCACCTATTGCGCATGTCTTTGAACTGTGGGGGAAACTGGAGCACCCGGAGGAAACCCACACCAACATAGGGAGAACATGCAAACTCTACAGAGAAACGGCAACTGAACCAACCAGCATTCGAACCAGTGACTTTCTTGCCGTCACTGTCATAAATCGTAAGTCATAAATCATGAATTAATTTCAATATTTAAAATTGAGAACTGTGAGATTACGACTCAGTATTGTGAAAAAAAGAGTAATAATTCTAAGTTTCCATCTTTCAATTCAGACCCCCTATCCAGCCGATCAGTTGTAACACGGGGAGTGACTTTCAACTAAGTTCAGATCCACATGCAGGTTTATTAAGGCAGTCAGGCAAGCAATGGTCAACACAGGTGCAAACAGATGTATAAAGACAATCCAGAATTGGGGTTGAAATAATAGACAAAAGGTCGGATGGCAGGTGGCAGACAGGGATAAAAAGACACTAGGCGAGTGTCGAAACAAGACAAGGAAACCGCGTTGTAATGTCACTTATGTAAACGACTCACGACTGGAGTGTATGTGCTGGTTAAATAGTGTGTGTAATCAGTCCTTGACAATCCTCTGGTGGTGCTTGTGTAATCAGTCAGAATGAGGAGTATCTGTGTGTGAGCGGAGTGCATGTATGAAGTTGTAGTTCAACAATGGCTGATTTGTAGCCAATAAGAGATTGTGTATGTATTCCAGCGATCTATGGAGTTATGATTGCTGGTGATCATGATAATGGTGAGTTTGAATCCTGAGGTTTTAAATAATACATTAAGTCATTTTTGCAGAAATTAAGGGCTTAAAATGTCTGCATTACATTCACATGATAATGGCATTAATTTTCACAAGGAATAGTTTCCTTGAGTTCCTTGAGTTCAGGGTTCACCATGCAAGAGAATGAGTTGTAATACTCCATTTATTTAGGAATGTGACTATAGCTTATAATTACAGATTTCCCTCTTTCCCTACCTCTGTGTGATGCACTGTGTATATAATACAATGATAATGTGTATTTTGCATCTGAATTCTGTGATGTAATGCACTTTTTAGTAGGAAGTAACATCTAGTGGTGGTGTGTGGAGCCCACTAGCGACTTCAATTGCCACCCAGAGTGACTCACATCTACAAAGTCACTGCTTGTGTAAATAAGGCATCCTAGTTGCATGACCAAAATAAGTGAGGAAGAGTTTCATCATCATACTGCCAAAAGGAGCAATTTGTATGCAACTATGTATCCCAATTTTAGCAAGATGTTAATTTATTTATATCAAATAATATTTCACAGAATTTTTCAGTGAATTCAATATGTATATATTTTTATGTCACAGGCGTAGATGGGGATCGCCTGTAAGTCGCTGACTCTCAGATGAAATTAATGGTCACTTGTCGCTTTGCTGCATTGTAAGATGTAAATTGAACGTCTTAAATTTACCCTGATAAAACAATGTTATATGTAGCTATTTAAAAATTGCAATAATATAAATTAAGAATTGCAATATTCAGAAATGTGAAATTGTTAGCCAAAAATAAATAAATCATTATAAATATATTTAATTGCAATAGTTATTTCCCAAAAAAATAAAAAGTCACAACAGTTGTGTAGTAGCTACTATAGATCTTGAACTTCCTCGTCTTATTTTGAAAATAAAGAGAAAATGCTCCACCAGCTTAGAACTGTTCACAAACACCAAAAATTGGGACAGCAACACAACCCCCTTTGCCAATCAGAGACCTTGAAGGAGCCCCATTAACCCAGAATCTGTGCGTGCAGAATTCCGCAGATTTTCCACAGATTTACGCAGCTTTTTAGCTCATCAATAATTCTGTTTATTTACTTGAGCAAATGTGTGTAAATCTGTTAAATTAGTTTTAAAATTAATTTCAGTAATATTATTGACAAATGTGAAAATGTTCTGATTTATGTACAATTCAGTTTGTACAGTAATATTTTCTGTCTTTTACTAGATATATTATGTGACAAACCTTGCTTTATTTAATCTAATTTGATTTGCATTTTAAACATTAAATAAAAGTTAAAAAGATATAATTTTTTTATTTCATATATTAAGGTTTTAGTTATGATACTCCCAAAATAATTCCGCAGAAATCCGCAGACTTTTACCAAAATTCTCCTCAGAAATAGCAAAAAACGTCCGCAGATTCCGTCTGGCCCTACCCATTACTCACATAAGCCAGTGGTATGAGTCAGAGGCGAGGGTTAAAAAAAAAACAGAAATGTGTAAAAGGGATAGTTCACCCAAAAATAAAAAAATTTACTCACTATTTACTTACAAATAGTAAGAAAAACAAATACTATGGAAGTCAAGGGTTACAGGTTTTCAGCATTTTACGAAATATCTTTTGTGTTCAAGAAAATGTTCAGCTTTGTGGTGAACTATCCCTTTAACCTGTGAAATCAATACATTTTTTTGTATGAATTTGTTATTTCTGTCAACTCAGCAATCAGGCGTACTTCTGTAAAGGAAACATCCAGTGTTCGTGCATGTGTTTATAATGTGCTTCTCTCTTAGTCAGTAATGGTTTAATATTGGAGTGGTAGCAGGAGGCGCTGGGATCCAGTCTCACTTTCTCAGTTTAACAAATGAGCTGTGAATTCTCCAACTCATCCACACTGAAAATAGAGTTGTTGTGACAGGCCACGATGAAAGAGAAGACAAAAAATAGAGACAGCGGCAAGCCATCTTTGTTTATTTACATGTGTGTGATGAGCGTGAGTGTTTTAAGCACGTTTTTTGTCTAATGTTGACATTAACAGCAATGCATTTTTCACATACTCTATGCAATATTTTAGATAACTGATTCATTTCACAATTTCTAAAGTCTACA